AGTTTTTGATGTAGTGTTTTATTTTGGAGAGAGGGAGAGAGAGCGGGGGAGAGGGGCATAGGGAGAGGGGGAGAGAGTCTTTTATTTATTTATTTATTTATTTGACAGAGAGAGACACAGCGAGAGAGGAAACACAAGCAGGGGGAGTGAGGGGGAGAGAGTCTTAAGAAGACTCTGCGCTGAGCGCAGAGCCCAACAAAGGGCTTGATCTCACCACCCTGAGATCATGACCTGAGCCCAGGACCTGAGCTGAAACCAAGAGTCAGACGTTTAACGGACTGCGCCACCCAGGTGCCCCTGTATTTTGTTTTAATTACTGATTATAACTTTCCTGGGTAAAAATGGTACTCTCTTAAATACTTGTAAGTTTCTCTTTGTTATTATTTATTAACTTTTTCTCTAATTTTAAAAGAACATGTTTTATTAGCAGTTCAATTTATAGTAGCGCCTTTATTTTTAGTCATTGCCATCTCCTTCAGCACAAAGTTCAAAGCCTAACCATGTCTTCCCACGTTTGCCCCCCTCCCACACCCACCCTACTACCTCTCTGATCCCCTGCTCTCCTGTGTTTTCTCCACACTCAGTCCTGTCCACCTAGTGAGTCCTATTTGCAAATGTTTGTTTGTTTTTTTCTCTTCAAGGTCCTTCTATCCCTCTACTTGGGCCATTTTCCTATAGAGAATCCCATGGCTCACTCCCTCTCTCCCTTCCAGGCTTTAGCTATATCACAGCTTAACTGAGAGGTCTTCCCACACCTCCTATTCTGTTTATCTCTTATTCGTTCGCTTAGCTATCACTACATTCTAAATGTTTAATGTCCCCTAGTATGTGACTGTAAACTCTATGACATAAAGGGTTGTGTCTGTTCTGATAAATGACCATAGTGCTCCTACCACCTAGAACACAACTGAACACATAGGAGACACTCAGGAAATAATGTGCTGAATGTAAATATACTAACATTATTGTTTAAGGTATGATTTATCAAACTCTCCAATCGATGCCTTCTATAGTGGATTCTAATTTGAGAATCTGTGACTTTTAAAAGGAAATTTGAAATAGTCTTATCTACTATTTTATTTAATATGCAGTTTTATGGATATTCTGCCCCAGGCTCACTTATTCATCTAATGTAGACTACCTAAGCCCATCTTTAGGGGAAAAAATCCTGCTGTTGAACATTCTCTTTGATTTAATTGTGTGTTTACTCTTCATGGTAATAATCAGAGACTAATAAACACGGTTCCTTGTAATCGTTTCCATTTCTTTTGTACTTTCTTCTGTTACAAAATAATGGAGAAGTATAAAATGATAATAAATTTACCTTTGAACATTTATATGCTGTGTCTTTTAGCCTGGGGCTACTTCAAGTAAAGGTTATTTCACTCTTGGTCTGGGTTTCCACTTGAAATTTTTTTACTTGAGATTCTGTCCTTTCATACAGAGACCTCAGTTTTATTCCATTCCCTATTAAGGCCCTTGCTCAGATGGGAGCAGGGTGGAAATCTGCTCTTGAAGGGCTCCTTCTCAAATTGAAGCCCTCATTTTGGGGTCTTTGCCTGCTGAAACAATGGGAGGTACTCAAGGTTTCCCATTTTCAGAAAGAAATACGACCATCTGAGAAAAGATCTATAATATACATTAATCATATTCTAATTTTGTATACTCACTTCTCACATTTCATTAAACAATTTCATGAGAAAATACAGGGTATATTGTCAGATTGATACACAGGCCATTGTTTGGCATTTGGGAGGTTGTAAGGTTAGGTTTACTTTACCTTTATAGGTTCCTCTGTTTCTTAAACATTTTAAAAATAAGTATTGAGGTATAACATATATACAGGAAAGTGTATTTGAGTGTAGACCTTGAAAAATTTTCTCAGAGCAAATGCTCCTATGTAACAAGCACCAGGTCAAAATACGCAATATTTTCGACACCTGAGAAGATTCACTTGTGCATTTTACTGCTTCACTCCTTCCAAAATGTAACCACTCTTCTGACTTTTAAACCCATGGAGCAATTTCACCTGTTTTTTGAAATTTAATTAAAAGAAATCACAGTAGGTATACTCTTGTGTCTCACTTCTTTTGCTCAAACCTCTTTCAGGAGATTGATCCATCCCATGTATTGTATATAGCTATCATTTGTTTATTTTCATTGCTTTATAATATGCTATCACGTGAATATACTACAGTCATTTCCAGTTTAGGCTACTACAAATTAAGCTGCTATGAACATTTTCTCTCTCTCTCTCTCTCTCTCTCTCTCCACATACACATATACACACACAACACACACACACATACGTGCACAGAAATGGTAGTTATATGCCTCAGAACAAAACTGTTGGGTTATAAGAATTATGCAGTTTTGCATTTAGTATATAATACCAAACTATTTTCAATGGTTGTCTGAATTACATTTCCACCAATAGGAGTTCAGGTTATTCCAAATCCTCACCCTCAGCATTATTAGCCCTTCTAATTTCAGCCATTTTTATGAATTTGTATTAGTATCTCATTGCATTTTTAACTTGAATTTCCCTAATTACTGCTAAGGTTGAACACTTTTTTATATTATTCTTCAATTTTTGAACAGCCTCTTCTGTGAAGTTCCTGTTCAGATTTTCTGCCCATTTTTTCTATTGGATTTTTTTGCTCATTCTGCAAAACCTAAAATTTTTAAAAATAAATAAACTATAGAGGAAAATCATAGGACAAATCTGGAATGCTCAATAGTATAAAGGTATTAATTCTCCCCAAACTGATCTATAAATTTAACTCACTGTTGATCACATTCCAAACAGGATTTATTTGGAAATTTAAAAAATGATGGTAAAATAAAGAGAGAAATACAATGGGTCAGTATAACCAAGAAAACACTGAACAAGAAAAAGTGGGGGAACCTAGCTCACCAGATACCAGGATGTATTATAAAACTGCAGTAATCCACAGGGCATGGTATTTGTGCATGTATAAACAAAGAGAAAATGGAAGTGAATTGAAGTCCAAAAACAGAACATTTGTATCGAGACATTTTTATGACATACCTAGTATTAGAGAGCAATGAGTAAGTAACATTCTTTTTAATAAATAGTGTTGTGACAATTAGATTCCAAATGAAAAAAAAGAACCTGAATCTTAACCCATTCCTCATGTCAAACTCAATAATCAATTCCTGGTGAAATATAGATCTAAATTCAAATGGTAGAACAAAGAAGTCTATATAGATGACAACAAAATATAATATCCTAATGGTTTTGGGCAGGCAAATGTTTCTTAAAAAGGACACAAAATTATAAAAGTGAACATTTATAAAAATGAACTGCACCAGAATGAAGAATTTGGTTTATCATTGAGTAAAATGTAATCCAGAGGCAGAAAATACCTTTGCAATGCATAAAACGAAGGATTCATATCCAGAACATACGAACAACTCATAATTTTGATGAAGTTCATCTTTCTCTTTTTGAATCATGCCTTTGGTTTCACATCTAAGAAATATTTGGTTATCTCAAAGTCACAGGGATTTTCTTCTATGGTTTCTCTGTTTTATTGCCAGAATTTCTTTCAGTCTTATATTGAAAACTGTGAAATTAATAATTATAACATATACAGGAAACCCAAAAATTCATAATCAATAAGCAGTATGTGAAAAAAACCCTCTTACCAAACAAAATCTATGGCTACATTAATCTACTATTTTAGAGGAGATCCAACAACCTATTGCTTAACATGGTATTTTCTTGGTGGGAAGAGATCAACTACATCAAATCGACTGAAACCAATAATTCTTTGAATTCTCTGCTGTCTTCCTGGCTTTCATATTTTGTAATGGAATATGGGGAACTGAAAAAGATTTTTCTTCATGTAAATTCTAATATCTCTAAATAATATTCTTAACTTATGTGATATTGATCTTTCAAAAGGATCTATCAGACTAATATTGAGGCAAACATTTTATAGACCGTCTTATTCTGTCTGCAATTTGAAATTCTGCCTGAAAATTTGAAAATATACAGTTAATCACTTCAGAAATAATAAAAATGTATAATGTTTCTATAAAGCAATTTTCATAGATTATATATGACAATAACGCTAAATTCATAAAATCAACCAAATGCTGCACAGCCTTCACTATCATTTCCCATGTGATGCCTTCTCTGTACCAGATGAGCTGAACAACATTTGGGGGAGGACACATCATGACTCATTCATCACTGATGGTGGTTATTGTAAGAGTATGCAAGCAATTTATTTGAATTTATCCTTGAAAGAGAGATGTAATGTAATTAGGGAGGTACTAAGTGCCTGGTAACTGTATTGGTCGATTAGAAAGATTGTAGGAAGTTGGTGAGAAATCTCAAAGTCACTCTAATGAGACCAGAACTCCTTTCATCTACATACTTATTTAGGTATAATTGTTGACTTTCTAATACCATACATATATTTTCATCTTGTTCAACTAAATCAAACCTAGCAATAGGAAACAAATTTGCAGTTCTGTGAGTTGAAATAGCGATTGTTCTGTGTAACTTTCATACTTGGATGTGGTGTCTAATAAATGCGGCCTTAATTCAAACAAACTTTATCATCATCATGTCTGAACAAACTTGATACATAAAAAAAATAAGATTCAGCCAACTAAAATCCATTTGTTGTACAGAACACTTCTCTAGGAAACTGAGGGTCACCACAGGACTTAATCTGTCTCCCAAATGTAACTGCATCAAGTAAAATCTGCAAACAACACAGAGTGCCCTATCAGGTCTGACTCATGCCCTTCCCTGCCCTCTGTGACTGCATACATTTGCTTCCTGAATCATGTGATTAGCCACCAGCAGATCCACATGAAACAGAACACATACTCTTAAAGATCACTACTTTGATTTACAAGAGAACTTAAGAAGCTTTCCCTGCTTTGGAGGCCAAAGCCCTCACTCAAACATTAGGCATGCTGTCTCACGGTATCCAGACTCTGTCCAGGTCTCCACTTACATTATTTTTCTGCAGGACACGCAGTGCCTTGTTGACATTGTTCAGGGCGTGAACTCTTGTGGATCCTTTTTCTTTTGGCTGAAAGTAAATTGAAACAATGTTTACTGCCCGGCAGAGAGATAATCTACTAGAAATGAAACCATTTATACATTTCACTTCAAAGTTTGACTATTTTAAATGAACTTAGGCTGTGAGGCATTAATATAATACACTTAAGGGCTTTGGGTTAATTGTCCTTGTCATAGAACTTTCTTAGCATGAATCAACCCCTCCTCAAGAAAAACGATAGCATTTTCTTTTCCTCAATAAAAGCTATTTTGGTTACCATCTCTTCATTCCACAGCCCATTTGGGGATTTCTGCATGACCAGGAAAGAGAAACAACATTGCATAAGGACTTCTTGGTAAGGGAGATAAGTGAGGTAATTTCCACACATTTAAGGAAAGTATAAAAGAGACTTGAGCCTAGAAAACTTATATAACGCCAAATAGGGCTAAGGGAAAACTTTTCTGTCAACATTACCTTAACTGCTTTCATCACTGAAGCTCAAAACCTCAAGAATCTTTGGTTTTCTAACCCTCACTCTCAATCCCCAAAATCCTATCTCATCCTACAATTTCTGAACTGACATTTGTACAGTGCATGACAATATGCAGATTAACTCATTTATCTAGTTGTGGAATTTTAGAAACTCTACCATTATGATGCCTGCCATATTGACTTCTAAAAAGAGATCTACATCTCAAGAATTTTTTTTTTAAAGACTTTATTTATTTATTTGACAGAGAGAGACACAGCGAGAGAGGGAACACAAGCAGGGAGAGTGGGAGAGGGAGAAGCAGGCTTCCGGCTGAGCAGGGAGCCCGATGTGGGGCTTGATCCCAGGACCCTGGGATCATGACCTGAGCCAAAGGCAGATGCTTAACGACCGAGCCACCCAGTGCCCCTGCATCTCAAGAAATTTTTAAGGGCACAATAAAGTACAGATGGTCCCCGACATGATAGTTTGATTCAGGATTTTTTGACTTTATAATGGTGCAAAAGTGATATGCATTCAGCAAAAACCATACTTCACATTTTGAATTTGGATCTTTTCCCAGGCTAACAATATCCAGTATTCTACTCTGATAATGCTGGGCAGGGTCAGTGAGCCACAGCTACAAGTCAGCCATGTGATCATGAGAGTAAATGACCGATACACTTAACAACCATTCTGTTTTTCACTTTCAGTATACCATTCAATACATTATATGAGATAGTCAACACTTTGTTATAACATAGGCTTCGTGTGAGATGATTTTACCCAACTGTAGGCTAATGTAAGCATTCTGAGCATGTTTAAGGCAGGCTAGGCTAAACTATGAAGTTCAGTAGATTACGTGTATTGAATGCATTTTCAACTTAGGATATTTTCAATCTGTGATGGATTTATAGGGACGTAACCCTATGGTAAGTCAAGGAAGATCTGTATTATTAACTATAGAAACAATGTTGTACAGCAAATCTCTGGAACTTATTCATTGTGCATAACTGAAACTTTATACCTGTTGACCAGCACTCCCCATTTTCCATATTTCAAGTTAAGTGTTCTTGTCATAATAAAAAATGAAATTAAACTTAAAAGATCATGATGACTAAAAGCCTTATAAAACATTCAATAACAAAGATACCAAACATTACAAACAAATAATATCTATTAATTAGCATAAATTACGTGACTGAAAAATTTCACCTTCTAGTTCTGTGTATGATAGAATATGCCAAAATAAAAATAAGATTACAAGATTGTTTTATTCAGGAATAGGTCCTGTATTGTTAGTTAAATGAGTAATTATTAAATTAGTGAATTTTACTAAATCTAGAACAACTACACTGAGTTAGTTTCCGGTTTCTTAGTAAATTATCCTAAGGTTAATGTGAACTTTCTTATAAATAAGTCACGTACCAGTTTTTGCCCTGTCAGGCCTTCCAGAAGGTCTAGGAGGCGTCTCCCATCCTGTAGGTCACTGAAGAGGTTCTCTATGTGCTGCTTCCCAAACTGAAATATGAAATATACCCAATCAAACAAAGCACTCTTCCAGTGATCCATTTCCATGACTATGCCTTTTAAAATTTAAAGTTATGTTTAAGAATATTTAATGTATCTAATTCTTCATCTGCCAAGGATGAAGGATGAAAAGAGAACCTCCAAGTAAAAAACAAAAAACAATATATCATCATTAGGTCAAATCTATTTAAAATTTTTTTAATAACATGAGTTAGATATCTGTAGCCTAATTGGTCTAATTAACTCAACTTTTTGAATGCTGACTCTATGAAGGAGAGAGAAGTACACATACAAAGAAACAAAGTCCACATACAATTTGTCCTGGGTAGGTGCTTACAATTTAACTGTTTCATGTACTTGGCTCTATAACATAATCATAGAAGACCCACCATCCTGCACCCCTAGAGCATGCTTTCTCTGAATATACAGTTTGAATACTGCCTCAAAATGATCCATTTTCATATTGCTTGGCTCAGATGTTAGAAAGATCTGATTTTAATTGAGTTGAAATACACCTGTGACATATTTGTGTCTATTTTTCTCAGTTCTTTACTTGGGAATTGTACTCAGAAAGAATAATAACCACTCATAGCATCTCGTATTTTGGTAGCAACTACTCATTAGAAACACTTCTCTAAAGGAGTGGATCTTATCTTTGTAATATAGTTGTGGGTTAGTATTCATATACTCATCTTACAGATGAGAAAAAGAAGTTGAACATGCGGCTCTTTGTCATGAAACTAGAAGATGGTGAAGCCCAAATGCTGTTCCAGAACTGTCTAACACTGGTGGGGGGGCTGGTTTTTCCTAGCTTATCATGCTGCTTCCAGGGCTTTTTCCTCCTTCCATCTGATTATCTTTCAGATATTTTATTTCTTCTGTCATGCCCCCAAATATTTTCTTTTTCTGGTTGAAAGCCTACAATCCCTTCATATAAAATCATTCACAACTCTTTCATCACCCAGGTTCTCTGGAAAGTCCTCATTTATCAGTGACAGATGTTTATTGAGCACCAATAAACCTGAGCTAGGTGCTGGAGCATACACTAGTAAATCACACAGACATGCCCCCAGCCCTTGTGGGTCTTTGAGTCCAGCATGGAAAGCAAATATTCCCAAAAGGCAATACTACACAGAAGCAGTAACAGGGACCCAGGAGCATATAACTTTGGGAACTCCCATAGTATGGGGACCAGGAAAGACTGTCCCCAAAATGTCAGATGATGGGACTAACATTAGTTTTCAGGTGCTTGGGTTAGTCTCATGCATTCCTCGATCACATGAAAACTTTGCATTTCAGCCAGGTCAAGAAAAATAAAGAAGAGCCTTGGTTACCAGGCAAAGGGCATCCCTGAAGCTTCCAAGATTAAAGACAGGATTCAGGCTCTCCCTACAACCACACAGCCATGTCCATAACAAGTCCTGTCAATGCCTAGGTGTTTCACCTAATGAAACCCAGACCCCTGCAAAAAGGCCACCAGTCCTTTGAAAATCAAGCCACATATATGCTTTGACAAAGATAACTACAAGTTATTCTTCTGAAATTCTACTCTAATAGCTCTGCTTAAAAGTTCTAGGGGAAAAAGAAGACAACACAAAATACGAATATGTGAAAACACTTTACTACACATTATGTACAGTAAACCTCAAAACAACATGCCATTTTTTAATGAAACTTTAAGGAAAGCTTTCTACTAATAAGAAAATGAATGCATGCTTTATAATTCTCTCAAGAACCTCATATATAACATGGAATCACTTGGCATTTGGAGGGTTGATATTAAGGCTTTACTTTCAAATTGGATGAAAGTCTACAATGCCTTAAAAATGCTGTTCTCTTTTGTTTTGTTTTGTTTCATCCAGGAGCAAAATTTTACAGATGTATTTGAGAAGCAAGTGGCTTTTAAATTTATTGACAAAAAGAATATTACACACTGAAATGTGTCAAGTTTTGAAGAAAATATAGTTAGCTGACAGAGATACTTGTTCTTGTTAAAAATATATATCTGGATGGATAGATACATACACACATACTTACATACATACATAACAAAGTCTGTCAAACCAGGAAGGATGTGGGTAGAAAAATGTTCATTCAAGAAGAGCAGGGGTAGAGAAAGAAATGAGTATTGGGGCACAGAGTAAAGCATGAACCTCAAGGCCATAGGGATCATCTAGCATCCAAGACACAAGGACTATAAAGCTTATGCTTTGGGGCAAGAAGTCTAGACAGTGGTCAACAAGGGAAACAGGATCTTGCTTTGATCCAAACTCATATACACAAGCCAACATATTTTATAATTCTTTCTTTTAAAATGGAATCAAACAAAATGGAGAGAGAGTGAAGGACTGTAGGCTAATCAGAGTCCTCCAGGCGCATCTAGTTGGGACACTTAGAAAGCAAGGAGGGAACAGAGAAAAAGTTCCTGCTATCATACATGACTCTCATAACTCATAAAATCAAATACAATTTCTATTTGTTATATTCACATTCTCTAACATTGTGCTTCTCAGAATGTTCCATCAAAGCATCCTTCTAGCAGATGAGATTGAATGAATTTACCACAGGTCTGGCAGTATAAATTAGGCAGTGACAGCAGTTCAAAATGTCTATGAACACATACGTTTTATTTTTTTTTGTAATTTTTAAAAATTAACATAGTGTATTGTTAGTTTCAGAGGTAGAGTTCAGTGATTCATCAGTCTTATATAACACCCAGTGCTCATTACACCATGATCCCTCCTTAATGCCCATTACCCAGTTACTCCATCCCCCTACCCTCTTCCCCTCCTGCAACCCACAGTTTATGCATATGTTTTATGTTACGAATTCATGGAAATGTTGCCTTCGTCTCTTAATGAATGTTTGTTTTAAAAGCATTTTCAAGCCCTCATGAGTGAAATTTCCCCTCCTAGGTCCAATTAAAGTCATGCTGAATGAAATGTACACTATTTAGCCTATAACTTCATGGATCTTCAGGTGCTGTCTTATTCTTCCTGTGGTATGGAGACCCCAGGGAAAGCAAAACATCTCATTTCTCCTGGATGGTTTTCATTTCTTTCCCAGATTCAAATCCTCATTCTATAACATTATAGCTATGATATAAGAAAAGTAGCACACCTTTGAGAGGCAGAAATAGCTGACTTTTATTTTATTTTACTGGGTATTATTTAAATTTAAATTCAATTAACATATAATATATATATACAAATATATATATATTTTTGTATATACATATATTATTTGTTTCAGGGGTACAGGTCTGTGATTCATCAGTCTTATATAATACCCAGGGCTCATTACAACACATACCCTGACTTTTAAACTGGAGTCTTTTATTCACTAGCTGCACTGTCTCAGGCAGGTGACTTAACCTTTCCAAGGCACAATATACTCTAGTAAAATGGGGATTGAAATAATACCACTTCAGAGCACTCCTCTGAGGTTTAAATGAAACAGTGTAGGTGTGCTGACAGACTGGCAAGTAGTAGGCTCTCAATAAATATAGGATTTTTTTTTATTCTATTACTCTTTGACTTCTCTTTCTCTGGCCAAATTCTAGATATAAATACAATTATGGTACATTACTGAATCTACTAGAAAGTGCAGAGCTCACATACAGTGTGTTCTGTTTTTTCTTAGTTTGGTATCCCTGTAAGAGCGAAAGTCAAAGGGGGAAGATGTCATTCCATATTCAATTACTCACATACTGGTAAACGTGATGGCAGTCAGAGGCTTCAAGCCCTTTCTCTTTTTTCTTATTCTTTGGGTTACTTTCCATTAAGTCCTCTTTTGTTTACACCACTTTTCATCTTCTAACGTACCATGCCTTTTTGTTGCAAGTGACATTTATGTCATGAAAACAGTAATATTTTTTTAATTCCTTATCTTTAGTGGCTTTCTTTTCAAGTATATGAAAATTATTTTGTGAAGCACACAAAACATTAAGCCCTTTTTGGGCCACATGACCCTGTGGCTCTCCATCTCCAGTCCCTTTCATGACTAATATTTTCTTTAAAAAGTGAACTTTTGATATTACTCAGCAATTTACTGCCTTCACTTACATATAGTCTTCTTCCTTGCTAACTTAAATAACAAGATGAAAGGACCATAAAATGAGATAATGATGCTTCCTGATCATTGTCCATATGATATAAAGAAATACAGAACTACAGACAAGGTTCAAAAGAAAAAAAAATCAGATAGGTTGATTGGTAAGTGGGGGAAACAAAGTGAAAAAAATTCAAAGTGAGAATAAATTAAAAGGGACAGAAATGCATTTGTGAAAACATTTAAATAACTTCTGACTCTTCAGAGTTGTATCAGTCTCTTAACCTGAAAATACACAGGGATCAATACAATATTCCAATAAGGGGTAAAGAGCACAGGAATTATTTAGCATGACCTTCTGGTTATAGAAAGGTCAGCCTCTGGACAATTCTGCTGCTCAGAAAGTCAAGACATTTCTCTGATTACAAATCTTTAGATACTAGAAACACCAAGAAGCACTGGAAATACCAAAAATAATTCAAAACATATTGGTGGATGCTGCTGACCAGCTCCCAGAAAATTATTGCAACACTTTATAGTATAAATTGGCAGTTTTCATAGATGACTGTTTTATTAAGTATGGATTATAAAAATTATTTTATAAGAGAATTTTATCGAGGTATAATATACATATAGGAAAGTACACATATCTTAAGAGTTAGCTCAAATAGTTTTTTACAAACTGAACACATTCATATTATCACCACCTAGATGGAGAAATAAAATATGACCAGCATCCTAGGAGCTTCCTCACACCCCTTCTGTGTATTAGCCCCTTCAATAATGATCACTATATTAACTTTTAGGACCAGAGATTAATTTTGCATTGAAAGGAGTCTCTTAAAAACAGAAAAATAATGTTGGTTTAGTGTTTCATTTTAAGAAACTATTGATTGAAAGACATCAGGGTAAGGCAGAGGGAATTTGGAAAGGAAAAAAAAAAAATTGCACTGATGAAATTTGTTTTACAAAGCACAGGGAAGGTGTAATGCGGTGAA